AGGTGAATAAATTGAAAATATTCTCTTCTTTTTTTCTTGTGATTGAAGTATAGTGTTACATATGACATAGTATAGAATAGTATAGATACCCAGCACACAAAAATTCAGATTCAAGTCCAAAGTAAAGATGAGGTTGTGATGTTTGGATTTAATGATATTCAAACCTTTAGAAGCTGTCTCAGTGCATATGATTTGAAGTTCATTTTCAATTTTTTAGCTACTTGAAATATAAGGAGAATTGGAATTCCTACAAGATCTCCCTGCTCTGTAGCTGTGGCTTCAATCCAGAACCTCCTTTTGGGGGGAGCAGGTTTGGAGGTGGAATATTACACGCCTTGTAGTCTTGGATCTGAGCTCAGGATTCTTTGTCCTAAAAGCTCTGTTCCCATCCTCATGCGGGCAGCACAGTGCTGCTGTCACACTGCTTCCAATCTGGCAGACGAGGCTGATGCCAAAACAAGTCTGTGGAAACACAGAAGGATAAACATGGTAAATAGCTCTATCTGATCTCTGCAAAGAGCTGCTTTAAAAGCCTGACTGCAGGTCTAGTAAATCGAGCGCATGGGTAGGCCTGAAAGGATCTGGGGAATAATAATCCCTTTAAAGATGCTGGAGAACATTGGGAGAGGCAATTTGTTTGGGCTTGAAAAAGCATCCAGAACTGCAACCGTGTAAGTCCAGCAATCAGGTATGAGTAGTGGAGGGATTAGAGCTGTGCTTCAGAGGCCTGAGAATAGATGGCTCTGCAGGTGAGCAGCTTAACAGGCTGTTAATTGGATAGTGGGTGAATGAACAGGAAACGTGCAGAATATGTCTCGGGGATTTTGCTGCTAAAGGAACAGTGTGAATGCTATCGACAAAATCTGTAATAAAAACTAGTTGGAGTTTATGGTTCCCTCTTGCAGATACGGTTGCCAATTTCTTATGCGATATATGTAACTTTATAGATGAAAATGAAAATGTGAGTTGGGTGGATAAGCAGTGTGTTGGTATTCCACCCCAACTCACACAAACGGGCACCAAAAAACCCAATAATATATTTTTACCAATTTGAGTCACGGATACTCAATAATAGATTTGGTTAGCAGTGAGAGAGTGATGAATCTATTTTGTAGCATGCTTACAAAACATTTCAGACTGTTTGTTTGAGATTATTACGATGGCATGGTGCTGTGTTTGTTTGGAGAATGTAAAGCAGTACAGCATGAGAGCCTTCGTAATCCCTTCTTTTAACCCTGGCAGATCCTGCCAGAAGTGCTCCTTGTTGTCTGAGGCTATGGCACTGGCTAACTTAGCAGGTGCATTCACCATATGCCAGAGCCCTGCAACTGATCACAGACATATGTACAGAAATTAGCAATAAAGCAACACAAAGTCTGCAGTTCGATATCCTAACAGTGGCTGTGGTTGAGATTTAATCCTCTGCTGTGCTGGGCTTATTGTCGCTGCTGTGCCAGAGCATCTGAACGTGTGTTTGGCTTCAAGCTTGCCATCAGTCCTGGAGAAGTCAGTGCAAAACCCAAACCTCAAATGCCCTGGATGGTAAACATGAGGCAATGAGTGAGAAGGGAAAAAAATACACTGACAATGGGGTTTGGGCTCTTTTTGCAATGCGTTCAGCCACCTTGTTTGTGCTAGGTGCTGCCCTGTTCTTCGCATTGTCCAGAGGCACAAAGGCAGTTGTCTCCATTGTGCTGAGAAAAAAAACATGGAGCAAAAAGATGAATTATTGCCCTACAGCACTTAAGTCTAAAAAGACCTTAAACTGGCAGCTCACCTCCCTTCCAATTCTGGTGGCTGAGCTGGCTGCAAGCACCGCACACAGGCCGTGCAGCTTTATCCTCCCCTATTATCTGAGGGACTTTTGAAATTTCCCCTCATGCCCTCTGCCCTGGCAGCTGAGAAGCACAGCTCTCTTTGCTCTCCTTCCTCCAATTCCATACCACGGCTCTCTGCTTTCTAAGCTGTGATGCCTCATTGCTGCTTTCACTCCATGCAGATGCAGGACAAGGATTCTCCTCGAGTCTCTTCATTTCTCTGTGTCAGTTATTTCTGCTCTGGGGATAACCAGATAACCAAAGCTTCCAGGACTGAAGTTTTCCAGGGCAGGTGGGCAAAGCTGTGATGGGGCTCCTGTGGTGGTTGCAGCAAGGAGCCTTCTGCTGTGTAGGGTATTACCAGTGTGCTTGTGACTGTGGCTCTGCCTGCTAGGGTGATTGCAGGGATGCTGCTCATCTGCCTAAACTGCTCAGAGCTTTCTGCTTCTTGTTGTTGTTATTTGTTCATTTTCCAGAGTTTTCTGTAAAAATCCAATTGATTCTTATTTGCCATGCTTGTACCATTCCCAGAAATATGGGATTTCATCAGATGCAGGGTGTAAAGTTTCCATGTTTCATATAAGCAGAGAAGTGCAGAAAAGGGGAGCATGAGACCTTACAAGCTTTGTGACTAGTTCCCTGTCTGGTGACAACAGTGTGGACCATTTGTTTTGTTCCTGCATTTAATCTCTTTCCATATGTTTTCTGAAATGTATGAGAGGAGAGAAAAAAAGGAGGAAAACCCAGTGAAGCCATTTCTACTGCTCCTTAGCAATGACTGTAAAACTCACTGAATTTCTGGGTATAGCTACTGTTATATGCATGAGGGTAGAAATTTAAATTGAAGTTGATGATGAGAGACTCGACTTTGTTCCCTTATGGGTAGAAGACTTAATCTATGTGAGACAAGGAAAGTCTATCCACTTAAATTCAAGATATTCTGTGTTGAACCCATAATTCGTAACTGACAAAAACAAGAGTCTCTAAAGAAACCAACAAAGAAAGACCTTACTGCTAGAGTCCAATATTAGCTATATTAATCTGAATTTGAACCGGTGAAAATGACAAGTGGAAAGAGATAGTGGGAATGAAAACCACATTTCTCACTGTTCTAGTGAGCAGATATTTTGGAGGACTTGCCACTCAAAGTGGAGATACTCAATGAAAGAGCTTCAGCAGGCTATGAATGCTTCTGGCACAGAGAATGATGTTTCCTGAAGGTGGCTCTTAGTTACCTGATAATATTTCACACTAGAGAACATTGTTAGAAGCTTGCACAATTATAGATGCTAAAACTGCTTTGGTGAGATCATTGTCCTCGTAATTAAACATGTATCATAGCAATCAATGAGCGATGATAATGTGTAAAGCCAATAGAAGGACTGCTATTAGAGCTTTTAGTTTGCTGTTTGTATGTGTATGTATGTGGGGGAGTGTGTTGTGGGACTTCCCATTATGGAGAATGATGTCTTATTATTTAAGCTTTTTTACTAGATCGTTCCAATTTGACGTTAATTGCACTTGGCATAAAGGATAAAAACAGTATTATGCTGTTAGATGACTGATCAGATCTAAGACAGATTTGTATTTCTTTTTTTAGTTTAATGGGAGCCTAAATGTTATGCTTCTCACTTTCCAAATTTCATATTCCTTCATGGTCTCTGATGACGCAAAACTTTGTTTCTACCTTCTGTTCCATACAGTGTATTTTCTTTTCTGTTTCAAGCCTGTCTCAGGAATGTTTGATTAGTAAAAGCTTTGGATGCAGACAGCAAGTCTTGAGTCTACCAAATTTGTGAAGCAACACTCCTTTGAAAAGGCTTTTTGGAGCACTTGTAGCATTTCAGTTAGGGTGCTCAATTCAACATCACTGAAGTCAATGAAATGTGCCCTAGAATTTGGATGGGTGTAGGAGTGACTTCAGCATCTTTGCTCCCAGGGCACAAATTTGGAACATCTTTTGGGGCAACCAGTGAACCTCATGGACCTTCTCTCTAAAAAGAGCCCCAGTGCGTTGCAGCCCGGTACTGCTGATTTGACATTGCCAGGAGAAATCCATATTTGAAACTCAGCTTTGTGCAGTTTCACCGTATCTTTAGGTGGGTGTGTATATATATACATATATATATATGTGTGTGTATGTATGTATAAAAAGATAGAAATTAGTGCATCAATTCATTCACTTACATGTTATGATTCAGATGTAAAAGATGTAAAATTTAGTATTGTTGACTCAGTAAGGTCTTCCTAGTAAATGAAATTGTATCTGAGCTGTGAACACTGTTAATCTGACAACGTGTGTGATATTCCAGCCCTGGATTGAAAAAGACTGAGTTATATTATTTCTTATCTCTGTAAGGTAAGAACTACTTAGTATTTATCTGATAGTTAAAGTCTACAATTAAAAAAAATGCCTAAGTGGAACAGAACATGGAAGCCTCTGTGGACGCAGTATTTTGTGAGCGTGATGAGAAGGCTACAGCTTTCAATAACTTATCATTTGAAATATTTCTTATGTTTTAGTGATCTTGTAAATCGGAGAATGGGAACATGGTTTTGTAAAATGGCCATCAGTCAGATATAGACTGTGAAAGCTCCTCCCCTTATGTAGTTTGAGAACTAGTGCATGTGAAACATCAGAATATAGCTCCTCTGTCTAATAACATTGATTTTTAGTGAGCGATGAAAACAGTACATCAATCAACTCTTGTGTCAAGAACAACAAGAAATCTTGCAAGGGCAGATTTTCCTCCCTTGGGAGATAAGATGTTCTACAGGCTGAGTTTTGAGCATTGTTCACAGTTAAGAGCTTCTTTTCAGGGCATTAGGAGAATTTTCTTGGATGAGAAGTTCTTAGTAACAAGAAAGCAGAAATACTTAACTTGCTTGCTTCTGTTCAGAATATTTGTATCTTCTCATTTCGTTTGTGACTACAGCTTCTCCTTAAATGAACGTGTTTATTTTTTTTTATGTCGTATAACTCTTTTCTTACAATTTTTTATTTCTATAGAATGTTCAGACCACTTCTGTCCCCCCCCTCCCCTCCCCCCCCCCAGAAATAACATTTTCAAAAAACAGTACCAGAAAGTTTGGTTTTAAAAATGTTGAAAAGTTTAACACTTTTGCCTATTTCTCTATTATTGTCCAAATATTTAAGCAGTTTTAATCACAACTTTTCCATAGCGGCAGTGCTTCTATTGGAGATTCATCCCAGATGTGATCTGCAACTGAAGAGGGGACTGCATATGCAGTGTTTCCCAAGAGCTTACGCCTGAAGCAATAGAAGAAATTCTGCTGGAGCAGTAACAGGTATTTGAAGGGATGTTGTAGGTATTGTTAGCTAAAATGCTCGAGATCAAGTATTGAAATAAATATACTTTCTTCAGAAGAATGAAAAGCAATGGAGCAGTCAAGGTGAAAGTTACACTATAACAATAAAATGAAAAGTGGGATCATAGGGCATAGTAGAATAAATGAATTTCATAATGGGTTTACAAAAGTATGCTAACAATGTATACAGGCTGTTATCTGCTATTTACACATCATCGTATCAGACTTCAATGTCAGTAAAACAGTGGGTTTTGTGAACAAAGGAAACTGAAGGCAACCATCTCTGGGACTTGCAGGTATTAATTCCCAGGCAAGGCCACCACCATTTCTGTGAGTCCATGCCAAACACTGAGCTATATGAAATGGCAGCACTTTTTGGATATGTGCCTCTTCCATGCATTTATTAACCAGAAATTGCCTGTCCGGAAAACAACAAAAGCAATATGAACAATAAGACAGGGACAAAATAAATTAAGGACAGAGCAGGTCAACTCCTTAAATTGTATCACACACATTTCCTCCTGATGAGTTGATGAAAATCCAAAGAGTGGGAGGAGCTGTGGGAGAACAGAAGAAGAACAGAGAGAGAAACTTCCTGGGATTTAACAGAAACAAGCAGAAAAACAAAACCAAGCCAAAAAGGTGTGGGAGATGTGTGTGATAAGGAAAGAAGCACAGTAGAAAAAAAATTAGAAAAGCCACAGACTTTTCTTGGATGTTGGACAATGCCTAAAGCCTAGATTATGTCACTGCCTTATAATGAGCAGGTAAATTTGGGCTGGTTAAAATGTTTATTGATGACAGTTCTGAAAGGCTGAATGGAAAGATGGCATGTAAAAAGCAAAATACTGCAAGTCTTAGTGCTGCAATATAAACTAATTAGATTGTATTGGCACGAAGTAAATGAAATTCTGTCATAAAAATATGAGATAGTGTGCTGTGAAAGCAGGAATGCATGAGCCACCCTATGGGGATAGATGAATCAGACCAGACAACTTTTTTGTGCTAATTCTTAGCATCAACACTTAAACAATGAAGAATAACAACACAAAGGCACCCTAGGTCCTGGGCTGCCCTTGCCATTAGGCTGTCCAGGCCACGCAGGGAGGGTGTGAGCACTGCTGCTGCAAGGCAGAGGCTGGATCAGAGCTAGGATTTGTCCTGTGGAGCTGAGGAGATGTCTTAACATGTGAGAAGAGAAGGCAAAACTTAATACTAACATTCAGTATAGACAGCTATATAAGCCTGTAACAGAATCGTAGCCAGCCTTGCTGCTGTGTAGACGTGCCAGTTTGTGTCTGCATAGCTTGCTTCTGCACTCTTATTGGGATGGAGAGATGTTAAAGTGAGAAATACAAAAATAAGATATATGGTGAGTACTAGAGGAGGCTGACTGCTGCTAACACTGCCTGAGGGAGATTTCCACAGGGCCTGCCAGGGAGAGGTCTGCTCAGGTTTTCAAACTGAAGTGTTGCCTGCAATAAGGTACGAAGTATGTAGTGCAAATGAAGCAGCAGGACCCCATTCCTGGGGATGAATCTGGGTGCATTTGTACTTTCATTTTGTAATGACTGCTGCTTCTATGTGGGGTCTTGGTTGTCTTCAGCCTTAAAGTGCTGCTTTGCTGCATAACACGTGGCTCTAGGAGCAGCTGCCTGCTGTCAGGTGAGATCACGCCACGCCAGGCCATGAGGAATCCTGGGGTGGCAAGTTCACATCTTTCTGCCCACTTCAGGTCCCACTGCTTCTGGGCATCCTGTCTGGCCCAAGCCCTCATAGCTCATGAACAATAGGCAGCCCTGTGGAAAGGCCTAAGTGTTGTCAAACGTTCATTTCAGTATTCAGCATTCAGTCTCATTGGGCATTTTAGTGTTACATCTTTCTCTTCTAAAATGAGACAAAAGAAGGCTATAATGTCTCAAGGACTCTGGAAGGCAATTTAGAGAATCCACTGTGTGGCATGCTAAAGCCATTGGTGTTTTCTTTTGTTTAATTTTAATTATTACTTTTAAAGAGATTTCTTTATGCCGTCATCAGCTTGACTCCTCCAGAAATGCCCGGGCTTCCTGCTCTGCAATTCATTTTTAGCAGCTGTCTTGAGAGGGAGATCTTGGAGTGCCCATAAACCATTCTCTAATCACTGTAGTCTTATCAGGTTCTAGTCTGTACATCTCATCCCAAACCTTACAGTTGTGGAATCATTAAGTTTGGAAATGACCTTTAAGATCATCTAGTCCAACTGTCAAACCTTCATGACACAGGAGATGGAGATGACCTCAGAGTTATCATCAGAGTTTGATTTTTTTCCTGATCTGCAGGCAGCAATTACTCATTACTGTTTTCCAGCCGTAGCACCGCAGTCCTTACAGGCATCCATACTCAGGCAGTGTGCAGAAAAATACTCTTCCAGTTGCCACAGATGAAGCAAGCAGATGGTTTCAGACGGTGAGTGAAACTGCAAGTCAGGAAAGCGTGTAGAGCAAAACTCTTGCATGGTGGGCACTGGTGGAGTAATTTGTTCATCGGAGGCAGACAGCTGAGAGTGTGGTAGCAGTAACATACTGCAGTCTGGATGCAGAGATCTGCAGAGTGTCTGTTAGGTCAGCGTGTCTTCCTGCCACAGGGATTGGGATGATAGGTGGTAGGAGGTGTTTCAGAGTCTGGTGATCCTCAGTGAATAGTGAGCATAGCAGCAGCAGTGGGCTCTGGCCATGGCTTGATTTGCAGCCTGAGAGAGCATTCTATCATAGCTACGCAGCCTGATGGTTCTGACTCACTTTTGTCAGCTGTGGTATGGGGTATGAAAGGGAGAAGCAAAAGGTATAGAAAAGCCCAGTGGAAATAGCAAATCATTAGAAAGGCATAGGAGAGACAGTTTAGGGTTAGATTTCTTGTTTAGGTCCAGGCTGTTATGTCAGTGGGCTGAAAAGGGAAGGAAGAAGGGGAATAGTTCTTTCCTCCCCTTAGACTGCGGACTGAAAGCAATTTGCCCTTAACAGTCCACCAGCATTCAGCAGTGGAAATACCAGTTTGTACAGAACTGTGTTAATACCCTGCAATGTTAAATTTACAGAATGCATCTTTCTAGAGAGAAATGTTTTTTATATATGCAGTTCTGTTCTAGCTTCTGGCTAGCGGAGTCTATTTAGCAAGCATGATAACAAATGCAGAGATCACTTCTCCTGAACTGTGGGCAGAGTAACTATACACTCACTCTCTGAGTGCTAACTAATTTGTATTAATGTTGCATTCAGCCCTGAAGTCAGTAAACTAGGAGTTCAACCCTTTAAATTTATGCACAACTAGGAAGAGAGAAGTAGAGAATGGTCTTCAATATGAAAAGAAAATAAAGAGATTGCCATGGTAAGAAAATGCTGTGGGAGCTGGAATGACTGTGTCATTGAAGCTAGCATTGATCTCACCCTTTTTATTTTTTTATTTTTTCTAAAGCACTAACTGAAAGTGAGTTGCAAAAGAAAATCAATTCTGAGAATCATTAGGGTTGGAAGGAACCTCTCCTGGGTCGCACAGTCCATCACTCCTATGATTGTTCCTAAACCAGCTCTAACAACTGGGTATCTACTCACATCTTTTATGATGGCTCTACATTTTTCTTCTACTGGTTGCAACCATAATGTTAAAACAAACATTCTTTAAAAAAGAAGCATTGCAATGCAAGCCCTTGGGTACATTTTAGCTGACAGATAATCTTCAAGGCTCATTTACTTTTAAAAAGTTACAGTCTCCAAGCATCAATGTGTATTTACCTTTGCAGGTGTCAGGAAAATTAGAAATATTTCTGCCCCTTTTCTTTGCTGTGAGCAAACCTCTCTCAGGCTGTTCTACTGATGTTTGTTAAATGAATGGAAAAATGTCCAGTGTTCTTGAAAGTGTTGGATTATGAGGCAGTGTTTGTAGTTCTTTTCAAGGACGGGGAAACCTTGCTTTGAGACAGAACTGCAGGCTAAACAACAAATATACACTGGACACAGAGGGGACAGTTCCAGGAAGGTGTCACTAGTCAGGTTTTGTGGGAGATCCAGTTTAAATCTCGTAGCAGCTGCAGGTTAATTGCTGTAGCATATTGTCACTGTTCTCTTACGCTGCTTGGTGCCTCCTCCTGTGTGTCTCCAGCTTCCTCCCTCACCTGTTTTGTTTTCAGAAAGCAAGAGACATAAAAACGTCTCTCTAGTGCAAAATGTGAAGGTGCTTTATTTGAAAGCTTGGACGAGGAAAGTCCATCTGTCTAGTCTTTGTCTTTCTTCTGTTATGGGCTGCCCTTCTAATACCAGGAAGATATAATATAGTAGTAGGATAATGCTACAGTAGTGTAACTAATATTCTTCCTTTCCAGTGTAAAACCTCTACTGAACATGGAGGAGATGACCGTGTCTGCACAAGAGGTAGGAATTCTGGCTGAGTGATATTGCACCCAGAAATGTGCTTTGTGGCAAAAACACCAGTCTTTCCATTCTACTTTATTTATTAAACAAGAGTCTGTGTAATTCAGAATGATGTTATGATGGCTGCGTTTCAAAGTGAATTCAGTCAAGAAGGATTTCATTTAGAGAAATATTGCATTCTAGCCAGGAAATTTCTAATTGGTATTTTGTAATCCAGTGAGGCTGCCTCCAAGAATCCTTCCAGAGTTACTATGGGTGAGTCAGTACTTGTGGACACATGGTCCACAAACCTGTGGGTTTCCTGAATGGCAAATAAGAAACACATAGGTTGCTCTGAAAGTAATACCTCCTACTTATTTCTATAGAAACTACACCAGCTGCGAAGAGCACAATAACACTATCAGAAAAAGCAAATTCTCATCTACAAAATTCTGCTTTTCAATAGAGTCACCACAATTTAGCTACCCGTTTTCACTAGTGATGAACAAGGTCCTGCGTGCCATGCTTCTGAACATCTACACCACTGGAGGAGACCCACTGTTTCATGGCTGCTGTGATGGTGTAATTGCTAGGAAAGTGTTGTCCAGCAGCCTGAACAGATAGAAGTCAGAAGGTGCCCTACCTGGACTACAGAGTGGCTGTGGTAGGACACTCCAGCCAAGACTGGCAATGTGTTCCATGGCATTCAAACTGGTATGGGACCTGACATTACCTTATTGCAAGGAAGAGGTTGTCTTCTCTGTCTTGATGCTGGAAATGCATGAGTTGATGATTTGTCTGGGTTCCAGGAAGTCCAGAAGGATCACCCCCAACAATGTGCATCACTTTACCACCTGAGGGCTGTGTCTTGGACTTTTTAGTTGATGGGAGAATTCATGTGTTGCCACTCCAAGAACTGCTGTCTTTACTGTGGTTTGTAGCACTAACACCATGTCTTGTCACCAGTAATGATATGATCCAGAAAACTGTTGCCTTCAGCCTTGTATTGGTTCAATAGGTCCTGCCAAACTTGCAGACAGTGTTCTTTCTGTTTGTGCATGAACATTCATGGGCCTCACTTGCAATATTTCAGCACTGCCACAGTAGTTTCCAACACACTGAAGATAATGTTCAGCTCTGCACATAGTTGGTCATAATCTGATAATTCGTGTGGATGATCGAGATGCTGTTCATTTCATGGTGTGACAGATGTGCATGGCTGTCCAGAACATGACTTGTCTTTAATGTTTCTGTCACTACTGCTGACACGCACCTGCTTCACTGTGCTCACACCCACAGACCCACTGTGCTGGTCTCCAGAAATGTTCAGCAAGCACGGATGAATGTTGATGGGTGCCATTTTTTCCACATGGTGCAATTCAGTTCCACCCCTTTGCTTCGTCTGCGCTCCTGTGTCAGATGCCATTCCACCAGACAGCAACAAAATGCGATGGGAAGGTTCAGCCTCTGCTGCCATCCCACCAACATCCACCTCTGATGTAGTGAACCAACATCATAAAATACAAAATGTTACTTTCAGAACAGCTTTTGCATTAAGTTTTCTACTAACAGTATGTTTGAGTATTCCTGTCCGCTGGTGCAGGAATTAAACCTTTACACGTAGTCTCAGTTTGGGGATACAAGTCAGAGAAATGGGCTGATGGACACTCCTTTTCCAATCTTGGATGTTACCTTTTTAGAGCAGTGGAAGAGTGAACCCAGAGAAGAGCTTTTTGGGAGCTGGCATGCAGCACTGCACGCTAGGCTGTGGATTTGTCCCTTTGCTTCTCACTATCTAGTCTCAGAGATAAAAGATGAAATAATTCAGTAATAACCTAATGCTTTGCACTAATCTGATATCTCACACTTTTATGATTTAGAAAAGAGGCAGTTAAATTATAATATCAAGAAAGCTGCAGCATAAAGCTTTACTTCGATTGCATAATTTTGCAGCAGCAATTACCTCAGCTACAAATTTAATTTAAAAACTCTTTGAAAGCACAGTCTGTGTTATCACAAAATATACTTGAAATCACTGAAGGATGATTTCATTCCAAGTCTGGAGATAGTATTTAATAGCCAGGAGAGAAACCTGTGCGCAGCCACACCTTACTTATTAATAAGTTCTGCTGTAGCAATTACAAATCCTGACTTCCACAAATTCATTTACACTTGGCAAAATATGAATTATAAACAATGTTTGCCAACTTAATGCAGTTGCATTCTTTCACCTAGCTGGAAAATAGATGGGAACTATTGAAAATGATCCTAATCATGATGCTATTAAGAAAGATGCAGAGAAAATACTCTGATAAACATCGCAGTGTCTGCCTACCATTATCTTATATTTTCCTTCATGATTCATGGTATCTTAGCAACCATATAGGCCTGATAGCTCTAATGTCTCTAAAAATGATGCACTTGGAAATCTATCACTTAAGGTCTGGTGCTCAAGTAACAACAGTCTTTTCTTTGATGGCAGGTTTCAAGCCAAATAAATACACAAGAATTAGAGCAGCTTTCTTTGGCTGGATCTTCATTTTTTCATGGTTATTCAAACTGGGCAAGGAAAGGATTTTGTAATCCAGGCTTAATCTGTATAGATTTTGGATGTGCATATATATATTAATTAACTATATGGATTCAAAAGAATGTCAGAAGAGCGCTGGGTTATTGATTGATAGAGAGTTGTCTTTGTGCATTTACCAGCGGGGGTGAAAATGTGAGTCTCCTGTCAGGACAAGGAAAAAGTTATGGATTTATCATGTGTGTGAGAATCTGGGCATCCCCCTGTTTGCTGTAGAGCTATTAACTGCTTGATTGCTGCTGACCAGACCTGAGGCACTGATTGAAGCTGTTGAATTTTAAGAGGTAATCTATTGACTGTATGAATACCCTTGATATTAAGAACGGGCTTCCCAGCTTGTGCCATATGTACTACAGGCAGTTCACTTCAGATGCTTTTAGATGTGTTCTGGGCTGTGACCTTCCCCTCAGAGGAGAGGAGGACTGGCTGCTGGGATGGGAGTGCTGCTGAGCCGAGCCAAGCCTGAATTGCCATGTTTGGGAGAGGATAGAGCTGGAGATATGCACTTGTGTATAGGTTACCAGCACTGTGCCACAGGGAACTCCATCACCTCTCGTAAAGGCATCAGCACTTGGGGAAATTATGTCCGAAACCCCCAAACCTGAGAAACATCTGCATTTCTGAATTGTTTCCTCTTTGCACTATGAATGTTATCCCGATAAAAACTGTTGAATCAGATGTTCTGCAATACTTCAGAACAGAGGATTGAATGTCAATGATGTTTGCTAACTGCCGCAGGCATAATTCTATCAGATGTTGAGCAGACCACATTTACATTTAAAAATACAAGTAATCAATGTATGTTAATGTATGCCCTTCATGCATTTGGTGCCAAAGCATTTTAGCAGCCATTTTCAATGGTCATGCTTTTGCGGGAAAAAACCTTTCAGAAACGTATCGGCAACATTGACTTTTGGTTTAGCTTGTTTCTCTGAGGTGGGTATCAGTAAGCACACACAAAAAAAGGCACAAGTGGCACATGTGAGCACAGCATGCAGGCCAGCACACAGCCATGCAGATACTCCCAACAAGCGTATACCTGCTCTTGTTGTTAAGCCTTAGGAGTGCTTACGCTTTGCAAATATGATTAGCAAAATATTCACAACCGTAATTCCAAAACAAAGTGACACCTGCTGTGATCCTGTTAGTGAAATTTGACACGAGTCTGTGTTATTTTCAGGTACGTTGGCAGATGATGACATTACTGCAGGAGAAGGTAAGTTGTGAATCCATGAGAACTCATAGCAGCTGTTTGCATTATAACCTCAGCGTCAGTGTGAAGTAAATGAAGAGCACTAAAATGATTACCTTAGGAAAGATATGTCATATATATCTTGTTTAACCCCGAGTGGGTTGGGGTTACAGCACCTGAGGATGGTGTGTAGGTCACTCTCACCCATTCTTGCCAGAACTTATTTTGCAGCATCTCCGTGATTCCGTGAGAATTATGAAACTCAACGTGCTGTCAATGCGCTGTATGAAAAAAATTGCTGCAGGCTTTGCCTGAGCTCACTGCTGTCCCTGTGTATCTCAGTTGTTTCTCTCCCTCCTAGTGCTTACTGGCATGTTCATAATGGACAGTGCTCCATTCTTCCTTGGCTAGAAACACACGGTCCCTTTTGGTGAAGAAACTGTGAGTTTGAACCTCAAGTCAAAACCTGCTTTGTTACAAACCATGGGAAGTACAGTCTGTGAGTTTTGATCCCTGTTAACCTGGTGTTTGCTGCCCACCTCTCTGTGTCGTGATCCGTATGGAGCAGCACTGGGTGACCATGCACTGATCTGGACTTTCACATGTTGAGAAATGTCCTGAAGGCAGATTATTTTACAAAATATTTGAAAAAGTTTTCCCTGATTTTGATCAGAGCCAGTGTGGTCTTGATGGTCCTAAAGCCCTGAAAAAGGAGGCAAGGCTTGGCAAAGCATCTAAGACTACATATGGTTTACAAAATGCCTCAGAAGTGCTTGGAATGGGCTTCTATCAGACTTTGACTTTAGCCCTTCCTGACTGTGCTGACAGAGCTTCTACCATTTTTTTGAGGCCCCTTTTTATTTTATTCTCAAAAATTCTGCTGACAAGGCCACCTTTGTTGAGCTATTATGTACTGACATCCAAAGAACATTTTGAATTGTACATGAAGGAAGGCTAATTCTGCTCATGGTTCCTGGAATATTTTGGCTATGGTGTGATTTTGATGCAAAGTTGGAAACTGTGCTACAAGGTGCCTTTTTAAAAAACAAAACAAAACCCAGGCATACTGTCAGAAATTCATCAGCAGTTCCTCCCGAGTAATGTACTTTTCCAAAGACAAGTGAAAAAATGTCAAAACCAAATAAAGAATAGCTGTGTTACAGGAGCTATTCGAGATCCAATTTAGCCTTTCTTATAAGTTTCCCTTCCAGTAAGCTGCTCTTCTCATGTTTTCTTCCAGTAAATGAGATGTGCATAACTCAATCGTATTACAGAATTGATCCCTTTCAAAAACATGCCAACAAACAAACAAGCAGAAACTTTTGAATGGTAAAAGAGTTAAAAATAAGGGGTGCTAATTTCGTAACCCTTCGGCTCACATTCCTGGCTTGTCCAGCTCTCCCTCCATTCACAGGAGGATCTGCAGAGTTACACTGATAAGAATTCAGGTCACAGGAGATTTCTAGTAATGGTCTAGATTAAATCCATCCATACATTCATCTTTCTGTACGCTGGATGCGAGTGTTGGATATAAAAGCTGCAGATCCCCAATTTTTCATTTCTGAATAAACCATTTGGAAGGATTTTCCTCTTTCTTCCACTGGCGTATACTGGGAGTAACTTCTTTCAAGCAAATAATATTATGCTGGCAGTTACAGCGGCAAGAGGAGCAATAGGGCAGAGACAGAGTTTTGTGATGTGTTATATTTTAAAATGACACATTTGTCTGGTATGGGGTGGCTGAAATGCAGATTCAAGACTGAATAGAAATATTTCTGCATTAAATTCAGTATTTCTGCAACAAATCTTCTGTTTTTGTATAAGCAGATGAAGCACTCCTGATTTCAACAGCCCCCTGAGGCGCTGACCCACGGTATTTATTTCTAATCCGTTCTGGGCTTTGTGACCTTGCTTGGTTCGTTTGTCTGTTACGTGCAAATACTCCTTGCAGATTCTACAGCAGGGGTGAGGCCAAGCTCTGGCAGGTCAGAAAGTGTGCTGTGAGCAAGTGTGCTTTACTGAAGGGGAAAGGAAAAATACGGCTTTTGTACAGTATGGTCCATTGCCACTTCCAATGGGGTTAATAGGGCAACTACAGGCAAATGGCATGGCGGGGGAGGAATTAAAGATTTGGTTGTGTCTCATAAAGTGCTTTAGGATTCTGACGGTATTTTTTGGTTGTATCGAAAGGCTGCTCTGAGAGTAATGCTTCCTGTTTATTTCCATGGAAATTACTACAAAGAGCACTACAGCACCAGTTGACAGAGCAAGTTCTCAGCTACAAAGTGCTCTTTTTCAACACAGTCGCCACTGTGAGCTGTTTATTTTCACCAGTGATAAACAAGTGCCTACGTGCTGCACTCATACAAATCTACACGCCAGTGGAGGTGTACCATTGTTGCTGTTGCAGCTGTTGAAATGCACCACCCACTGCTTCACTGCGCTCACACTCACTATTTGGTCTCCAGAAATATTCAGCCAGCACTGATGAGTGGTGGGGGGCTGGCAATGGAGCGAGGCCAGCTCCTCGGGAGGTTTGAAATGTTGTGGGCATTGTGACCTGATAACCTTCCTCTTCAGAAACCCTCTGCCACTGTGATCCTTTAGAACTGAGAAATAAGACTGAGGAGTTTTCCAGTTAGTTCTTTTAAAGGAGACTGATGTGTAGCGGTGCCTAAAAGTTGGCTGCCCAGTTCGTGAATGGTTTCTGCTGCTGGCAGGCTGCTGGAGCTATTTCAGAACAGCACTTTTCTGACTCCATCAGGAGGTGCAAGCTCAGAGCCACTCACGTAAGCTTTGCCTTAGGGGTATCAGCAGTAGTGGAGTCTCTAATGAAAAAGAATAACTGAAACAACAACAAGAGAAATGAGGAAAATGAAGATTTTCAGACAACATGTCTTTTATCTGTGCCTCTGCTGGGTGAGGTGAGTGCTTCTGTTCTGTGTTATAGCTGAACTCACAGCTATATGCAGAGGGGGTGCTGGGAGGCTGTTCTAATTAAAACTGGTTCTTACTTATGAAATTCAGGATGCTGGGAGGAAGCTGTCCGGGATGATTAAAACACTATCTGAATGTTGACACAGATCCATTTGTGAGCCTTTCTTTAGTTGTGATATTGTCTGCAGTTTTTGTAGCTGTTGTTTGTTTGCTGGGTTTCTTTTTTCTCCAGTATTGGAAACTACAATGTCTGAATATTTTCTCTTCAGTGGACGATCAGGCTGACCGCTGCAGGTGCTACAATAAGGTACCTGGCTGTTGCCAACAGAGTTTTCTTTTTCTTTCTTCTCCCAGGAAGAAGCCCATATCCTCCTTGAACCCTCTGCCTGATTGTGTGCGATTCTGCAGCAATTCGTTTCTTCATGAATAGTAAGAAGAAACATAAGAGAAGTGCTAGAGTTGGACTGGCTTTTTCTGTCTCACCTGCATGGCTTGAAGCACTTCTCACCCTTCTCATCCCCATAGCAGCAGGCAGAGTGGCAGTCCCATATCCCATCCTGCTGGCTGCTCGTAACACCCTTCCTGACCTCTGCTTTCCTCTTCCTTGTTTCTTTACCTGTTGACATTGTGAGATGTAAGGCATGCTTCTTCAGGAGTGCAGCTTGGATGCTCGCTGAGTGTGTTTCCCATCTTCCTCCCGCCCATCACATCTCAGTTATTTCTGCAGCCAGCCTTATTTTTCCTTTTCCCTGCGTCCTGCTACTTGTCTCAGCAGTATCTCAGGTAGAATTTCAGGTGTTCAGGCAGGTTAACGTCAGATGAAAATCTTGAAGGACAAATAGTAGGTGCAGCACCAAACCTGCTATTTATGTCAGTATAGACTGGAGCTGGAGTTCAGCAATAAAATTCATCTTAAGCATCGTCTGTAAGTATTTCCTTCAAGACTAAGTCCTGGGTTTAAATGGCAAATAATTGGTTTGCACGTGAGATTTTATTTGCCGTGATGAATCACTTTGGGAAAATTTCATCTGTCTCTGATGCCAGAGGGCACATTCACATTTATCAGCAGATCAGTAAATATTTGCGTGAGATGCACAAATTGGCTATAAGCTCCAAGTTTTTGGAAATGGCAGATCTTTACCAATAGGTGTGAAGCTTCATGGTTCCATGCAGCTTGTGCACCTCTGTCTCATTAAAGTTTCACCTCAGAATGTGAAAACTTCTGTGTTTAATTAAACTTTTCATGAGTTCTACTCTGTGTGTTAAGTGCAGCATTTTGCTGCAAACCTGTCCCTTGCAGCAGTCTGCTTTCTGACAGTAAATCTGGCTCGGAAGTTCCAGCTCTGTACCCTTCATTCTGCCCCTCTCTGCAGATGGTAACCCCAATCCTTTTGCCATTTTTTGGTTTTGCAGAACTACTGAAATGATCTGGACTAAAAAAATCCAACATGACCCAACCCTCAAAACACCCTTAAGTCTTCTTTCTTTCTTTATTATTTTTTATGTAGTTTGCTGATGTGCAACTCCCAAATCACTGCGATGATGCCGACTTCGTTCAAATTTGAAATGAATTAATTAATAATTTGCCAAAAATGAGGTGAGACTTCACTTTTTCTGGCTCCTCCTTCCCTTCTCTCCTCCCAGGAAAAGATTGTGTGAACAGCTAACTCGTGTTCAGCTTTGATGTTGTATTGTTTGGGAAACCTCCTGAAGCTTCAGAGGCACTCTTCAGCAGAGCAGCACAGCCAGCCAGCACGATGGGGAGGAGCGCTTGGATTTCTGTGGAACAAATGTGTTTTGTTATGCCAAGGGATGGCATTCAAGCAGATAAATAATACGCATACTGCACGCAAAGATGTGGAAGTGGAAACGTACAAAACTAGTGCTGGAGTCAGTGCTCCCTGCGAGGAAGCCTGCAAAACGCTGCAGTCCGCTTTGCTGAGTGCACCACTGCCAGCCAGGAGCTGATGGCACAGCTGAGATCAAGAAGTGTTTTAATCTCTTAATAAATTTCACAGCTAGATGGCTTTTTCATTTGTACATTATAGACGGAGTAGTTTATGCATCCCTTGCTTTACTGTTGACTTATTCAGGAATTCCTGAAGAATCGCAAATACTTTGCAGTAGTTTTATTTTGGATGGAATCTGAATGAAATTCCTTGAGAAACTCAGAAGTTTCTGGAAATGCCAGATTTTCTTGTGGCTTGGAAGGCTTTCTGTCACTTTGTGCTACCTTGGTGCAACCAGTATACCTGAGTTCTAGTATGTGCACAATGCTGAGATGAAACTCTTTCCAAACCCTTTCTGAGGCTGTCTGGTCAAGGGAGGTTCAGGTTGGTTACTGAGAAAAATGTCTTCTCAGAAAGAGTGGTGATGCACTGGCACAGACTGCCAGTGGTGGGTGGTGGACGTGTTCAAGAAACATGGACGTGTGGCACTGAGGAACGTGGTTCACTGGGCATGTGGGGATGAGTGGATGGTTGGACTAGGTGATATGAGAGGTGATATTTTCCAGCTCTAATGATTCTATCATTCTGTGGTCCTCTTTATTCAAACTTGTCCCTCATCTGAGCAGTGGGGACAACTGGGAATATTCCACAGCAGCTTCCACTGGACATAGAGTGTGTTTCTGCCCCACAAGGAGGAAGAGATTAGATTCAGTGAGAGCAAAAAGCACAAACTGCCAACTGCCATGAGAGAAACACTAAAAAAAACTCTAATTTAATCCATCTCCTCATGTTGGTGAGCCTCGTCCCAGAAAGCTTCCTTCTGCTTGCCTGCGTGGAATAAAACACTTGGAGACAGCAATTACCGGGAGATGATAAATTAGATTGTGCCTGCCACTTGGGAGAGAATGTTTCCCAACTAACGAGCCTCTGCTTCGGGGACGTTTGCAAAGCTGTGTGCTCCAGTGGGTCTGACACATGCCTGGTTATGGTCGCACGCGGCTCGGCGCTGCGGTGCGTTCCAGACAGCTGAGCACGGAACTCTGTCGCTTTTGGGAGAGGCTGGCTAATTAATTCTTAATTTATTAGGATTTTGTGATCAGTGACAACGCTTAATTGGCTTAAATGTGACCTTAGTTTTAATGGTACTTGTGACTGCCGCGACCTCAATGTCTTCTGCGTCTCATGGGCTGCGGGGCCACCAAGGCAGGGAGCTTACCTTCCTATGCACAGGCAGAGTGACTGTAGTGGCTTTGGAAAACAGGAGACAACATTTATTTGTCACTCTTATTTACAGAATTTCTCCCCTTTTATTCTCACTGGATATATGTATTTTTAAAAAGATGCAATTTAAAGCATGCAGCATTTAATTTCCCATCAACTAGGTCCTCAATCTATTGTATTTTTTAGTGCTGTTACTATGTAAATGGTTACCAGGTGAATAACTACTCTCATAAATAGTCACAGCAAGAAATTACTTTAGCTTCCTATGCTAATAGACAGTGGATCTTATTGGTAAGGCTTATTAATTGGTTTGGTATCTATTTAGTTAAAATTGGTGTGGCAATGAGTGGAAAAATAAATCCTCGTTAGGACAGTGGGTTCCTTATTGCATGCCCTTGTATTTATCATATTCAGAGAACTTTAGAAAGAGTGGGTAAAGCTCCAAACGCTGCTGACAATTTCTCAGGTGTTATACAGATGTTTTATAGGGGGAGAACAAGAACCAGCATTAGAGTTAGGCTTCAGATGTGCATGTAACTAGCTCCATGTCCTGTATGTAAATAGCATGGTTTGATCAGCTTTGCCAAAACAGCCTATTTGCTTCTGCAGAATGCTTCCAGAGCTGGCTGCTCATGTCCCAGGGTGGCACACTGAGCCCGTGTGTGCTGTGCATTGCTGTGGGTGTTGGTGGGAGCTGGGAGTGCTGTAGTGTGTGGGTACTCCAAGCAATGTTTTGTTTGCCAGAAAAAGAACTGTTGTGTCTGTCTGAGAGCACCTCCCCACTCTTCAAGTTAAGATGCTTCTTGTGTCCAGAGTTATCTGCATCTCTGATAAATCAGTTCTGACATGTTTTTCCATACTTTTTCTTCTTCTTTCTTTTTTTTTTTTCCTCTCCTTTAAAAAAATAATAGAAGTGCTAAATGTGCAGTTATGCTGCAGCGTCAGCCAAAAGCATAATTAATGCTGCAGACATAATATGATTTTAAAAGATTATCTCTGGTACTGACAAAATATCAGCAAGTCAGTCTGTACTGAGGTACAAAATCCATACCCTCAACGTATCTGGGGTCTTTGGGTTATGTTAGCGCACATCTTTTTGTACCTGTTCTTACTGGTGTGGTTTCGTTGTTGTTGGATTGTGGGGTTTTTTGTTTTTTGTTTTTCTTTTTTGATATAAAAATAATATTTTACTTTTGTTTCTGTATTTTCCACCTCTTGCTGCTCAGCTCCCACTGGTTCCTGTGGAAGCTGTACAGAGACACTCACAGGGTTGACTTTGGTTGGAGAACAAATCTCTCAGAATCTTGCCTTGCCTCTCATCACCCAAGTTTCAGTCCGGGAAGGCTTTGGGTAGACCTGTGGAGAATGTGTCATGGGTTTAGTTAGTCTGATGCTCTGGAGAGGACAGTTAGCAGGAGATTGCAGTCTGTGTCCTGTGAGATGATGATAGAGCTTGAGCATGCATGAAAAATCCAGCTCCTTTGGGTTTCTAACTGTTGTTTCATAGAGAGAGGCAATGTTCTGGGTGGCAGTGGACAGAAAGTAAAGTTAAAAAAAAAAAAAAGCATCTGGTCTGATGAAAACATCTCTTAACCTTGATCAAATGGGATCATTTGATACGTGCACTGCTGAACCCAGAATCTTTTGTACCAGCAAGAGGGGCCACCAAGGGCAGAATATAACAGACCTGTAACAAAGGGAGTGCTCCTTCGTGTCAGCGCTGCTCAAAGGTAGCACAGTTTCTGTGCAGAAAGGTTTACAGGCTCACTAAGACCTTTGCTAACTCTTCATTCGTATGTGAAGACACAACTCTGAACATGTGAAATTGTTGAGCTTCCAGCAGTAAGAAAGATACAGACAATTTATTGCATTCCACGCTTGATTCCTGATTGGAACGAAGTGGTGGGATCCTAATGGATATGAAGCCCTCAGTCTCTTTCACTGCACAATTCTCCTCATGCTGGAGTTTGAAAGAAATGTTGTTTGTCAGCTTTTGAATCTGTGGTTTGCAGCTGTAGCAAAACATTTGGATAGAAAACCTATTTTCTAAAATCTACTTAGGGTAAAATGGCCTTTTTTATTGTTTACTTCCTGCATTTGAAAGAAGTTTTGTTAAAGCCCAGCTTCTGCACCTGCGTTCCTCCAGAAAACTGTCTCTTCAAATTCTCCAGACTGATTTGTCATTTTCTTACGTGCCAGAACCGGTTGTATCTCTTATTGCATTACACTGCTGACATCGGGTAATGCCTCATGACAGATGCGGCCGCACATCGCTGCACTGAGGAGCGAGAGGAGGAGTGGAGGCCCAGCTCTGGGGCAGGGCTGATATCTGCTGCACACGAGTTGTACTTACAGAACTTTAAGTCCAGTGGGCAGTCGTGTTCGTTATCTTTTTCTTTCTATTTTTTTTTTTTTTTTTTTTTTTGATACAAGCGTGAAGGAAGATCAAAGCCTGGGGAAGGCTGAGTGATAGGCATCTTTCTGCTTGCTTTTCTCTCTGTGCACATATCTACCTCATCTCTCAGCTTCCCGCTGGTGAGGGCTGAACAGAAGGTCTCCTTGAAATCCACGTTGTGTGTTGACCAGCTGCAGTCTTCAGAATTCAGTCCGAGTTCCTCTCGGCCCTTGCTGGCCCGATTTAATCAAAGCAAAGGGCACCTGCTCGTATTGCCAGATGAAAGATTTAGACAGAAAACTTGTTCTGGACAAAAGGGTTTCCGTGTCAGCCAAAATTCTCTCGCTTTTGTTTTTTGGGTGTTGTGCTTTAGATAAAAAGGGTGAAGTAAGGGTGAAGTAATGCTTCTGCCTTGTGAAGCCCCTGCAAAATGGAAAGGATACAGTGTCATCTAGGGATTTCATAGCAGTTAAGGTGTTCTAGGACCTGCAGAAATAAACATGGCCTGATGGAAAAAAATCCTTTACAAAAACATTGGCTTTCATTTAAATACCTCACATTGTGGAAAATTTACAATATCGCTCCCTCTGTAATTTAGTGGATTAATTCCCTCTTAGCTAAC